CATTTTCTAAAAGCCATTTGAACAAGTTATAATCAAGATATCAAATTTCGTTAGCAGATCAACCAAGCAGCATTCAGGTACCTATATACTGAAATTTTAGACAAAATCCATTTTTGGCCAAAAGCCAGCCAAAATTGTAAGTCTAAAGCAGCAAAGATTTTGACAAAAATACATTTTCTCTCTGAACAAAATTTAATGTGCTAACTGTTTAAGTACATCCAGAAGAATATTTAAACACCAGAAACTGGCCTCGAAAACCCGCAAAATGGCGAGTAATTAACGCATTGCAAAAGTAATTAAAATATTCTAAAATCATTTGAACATTTTCTAAAAGCCAATTCCCAAACAAGTTATAATCAAGATATCAAATTTTTGGTTAACAGATCCTTAAGCAACACATTCAAAATTACCTATACTGAAGTACAAACGAAATCTTTTGTGGCCGAAATGACCAAAAATTAGCAAGTCTCTGAAATACCAGTTTTGGCCAAAAATACTTTTCTCTCTGAACTAAAAATTTAATGTACCCTAACTATTTAAGTACATCAGAATAATACACAACTGAAAATGACCTCGAAAACCCATAAGTGGCAGGTAATTAGCATTGCAAAAGTAATTAAAATATTCTAAAAAATCATTTGAACATTTTTCTACAAAGCCATTTGAGCAAGTTATAATCAAGATATCAAATTTCTGATTGCTGAATTCTTAAACGGCATTCAAGTGCCTATACAGGTACTATGAAATCTTTTTGGCAAAGCCGATAAGTACATAAGTCTAAAACATAGGTTTGGCCAATCATTTCTCTCTGGGCGAAAAATTTAATATTTCTTCAACTATTTGATACATCCAGAATAATACACAAGCACCAAGAAATGACCTCAAAAACCCATAAGTGGCAAATAAATTAGCATTACGCAAAAGTAATTAAAATATTCTAAAATCATTTGAACATTTCAAACCATTTAGTTCAATTATAATCAAGATATCAAATTTTGGTTAACAGATCCTTAAGCAGCACATTCAGAATTACCTATGCAAATTTTTGAACAAATCATTTTTGGCAAAATAGTAAAAATTGTGAAATCTAAAGTATGGTTTGTGAAATACTTTTCTCTCTGATTTAAAATTTGTTATATTCTTGTTTGTCCGAATAATACATAGCTTTTAAAGAATGACCTGGCCGCCAGTGGCGAATGGTGGCATTACAAAGCTGTTCAATATTCTAAAATCATTTGGTTTTAAAAATAATTTGAACAAGTTATAATCAGAATGTCAAATTTTGGTTAACAGATCCTTAAGCAGCACATTCAGGAGTACCTATACTGAAATTTTGAGACAAAATCCATTTTTTGACCCGAAAATAGTAAAATTGTCAAGTCTAAAACCTTAAAGGATTTTTTGGCCAAAAATACGTTTTCTCTCTGAACTAAAATTTAATGTGCCTATTTATTTAAGTGTCAGAATAATACACAAGCACCAAGGAAAATGACCTCGAAAAACCGCAAGTGGCGAGTAATTAGCATTGCAAAATAATTAAAATATTCTAAAATCATTTTTGAACATTTCTAAAAGCTATTTGAACAAGTTATATCAAGATATCAATTTTGTGTAGATCCTTAAGCAGCACATTCAGGTACCTTTTAATTTTGAACCAGAAATCCATTTTGTGAAACCAATAATCTAAAACCTTAAGGATTTTTTGGCCCATGCTTTTCTCTGGAAATTTAATGTGCCTAACTATTTTAAGTACATCCAGAATATTTTGGCACCAAGAAATGACCGCAAAAACCCATAAGTGGCAGGTAATTAGTACCAAAAGCCGTTAAAATATTCTAAAAATCATTTGAACATTTTAAAAGCCATTTAGACAAGTTATAATCAAAGATGTCAAATTTACGGTTATGATCCTTAAGCAGCAGCACATTCAGTACCTATGCAAATTTTAGACAAAATCATTTTTGGCAAAGCGTAAAAATTGTAAAGTCTAAAAGCCTTAAAGGATTTTGGCCAAAATACGTTTTCTCTACTGAACTAGGAGATTTGATAGCTAACTGTTTTAAGTACATCGAAGGTGTACTGGCGCAAGAGAGCCAATGTCAAAACCGCAAGTGGCGAGTAATTGGCATTGCAAAAGTGGTAAAATATTTCTTAAAATCATTTGAACATTTTCTAAAAGCTAATTTGAACAAGTTATAATGAGAATGTCAAATTTTGGTTCTTGAATCCTTAAAGCAGCATTCAGGAGTACCCTATAAAATTTTGATAATCATTTTGGCCGAAATGACGAAAGAACATAATTCCAAGCAAAGGTTTTGACCAAAATACGTTTCTCTCTGAATTCAAAATTTAGTAACCTTTCTTCTTTAAAATGCATCAGGCCAATACACAAGCACCAGGGAAATGACCTCGAAAACTTACACCGATGGCGAGTAATTAGCATTACCAAAAGTAAATTAAAATATTCAAAAATCATTTGGTTGTTTTTCTAAAAACCATTTGAACAAGTTATAATCAAGATATCCAAATTTTTGGTTAACGGATCATCTTGGCATTCAGGGAGTACCTATACTGAAATTTTGAACAAAATCCATTTTTGGCCAGACAACCAAAAAAATGTAAGTCTAAAAGCAACCAAAGGATTTTTGGCCAAAAATAACTTTTTCCTCTCTGAACTAAAAATTTAATATTTCTTTAAGTACATCAGAATAATACACAGCTTTTTGAAAGCAGCCTCCAAGTATAGGCGGCAGAGTAATTAGCATTGCAAAAGTAATTAAAATATTCTAAAAATCATTTGAACATTTTCTAAAAGCCATTTGAACAAGTTATAATCAAGATATCAAATTTTGGTTAACAGATCCTTAAGCAGCACATTCAGGAGTACCTAATTGGCGACCCACCAGCTGTCCTTCTCTGAGCTTCCTCACCAACCAACTCTCATTCTGCACCTCCAGCACCAGACTGTCTATCATATAACTTATATTATACAAGAAAACCACATTAGAGTTTCCTTCCATCCTGAGTGCTCGATACCCCTACAGACCCATTCACCAATTTTGTAACTGTATATTTTCTGCATTTTGGCTGCCATGTTCTTTCAATAAACCATTAATTATTATTATTATTATTACTATTGAACACACACACACACACACACACACACGGCACCTTTAATCACGCCACGTTAACGCAAGGCTTCTAAAATTAGCCCAACTTTGACATTATATATTACAAGCAGCGGGATTTGAGTTTTTATTCCTAATTAAATGTTAATAACCCAGAACATTATCAATTAGCGGCTGGCCAGAGCAGTCACGGGGAGGGGGGGGGTGTGTTATGGGGTGTGGTAATGGGGGAGCTAATGGTTAAAATAGGCTGGATTAATGGGGAGAATAAAGTGGGTGAATTTAATATAGACATTGAACTGAGGTAAACTCCCCCACCACTACAGTAATCTCCCCACAACATCAAAGTAAACTCCCCCACCACTACAGTAATCTCCCCACAACACCAAAATAAACTCCCCCACCACTACAGTTAAGTCATCATCTCCCCTTCAACGCTACAGCAAAGACCCTCTACAACTGTAAAGTCCAAATGGCCATAATTCTGTCCAGTAACCACGAAACACATTGGTTATCAAACTCATCTGAGATCTTGTTGTGATGTCTCAGCATAACAAGTTGGAGCAAAATCCACTGTCATTTGTTTAAGTTATCACGTGGACAACCTTTCACCTCCTCCCCCTAGACGGACCCACGGAGGAACAACAAAAATGGTAGGAATTATATAATACTTATATGGAAAACACGAGGTGATGGGGTAGGGGGTGAGGGAGGGGTGAGGGGGGTGAGGGGTGGGGGTGTGAGGGAGGGGGGTAGGGGGGTGGAGGGTTGAGAGGTGAGGGGGTAGGGTTTATGCTCTGATACATAGTAGATGGAATATATATCATAGAGTACCCGTCATCCGTCCGTCCATACAGGTGTAAAAGTTAACCTGTACAGAAAGGTTATCCATCAACCATAGTAATACAGTGTTATGTAAACAATAACCATCACAGATGTTGTGTAACGCGTAATTAATGAGAAGTTGCTCGGGTAAAGGGACACTCATGACTGTCTTACAAATAGCATCACATTACGTCACCTCTATCCAGCCAATAACGTCCTCTTACGTCACCACAAACGTCACCTTACGTCATCACTCTCCCACCAATAACGTCCTCTTACGTCACCACAAACGTCACCTTACGTCATCACTCTCCCACCAATAGCGTCACCTTACGTCATCACTCTCCCACCAATAGCGTCACCTTACGTCATCACTCTCCCACCAATAGCGTCACCTTACGTCATCACTCTCCCACCAATAGCGTCACCTTACGTCATCACTCTCCTGTCGCGTCACCTTACGTCATCACTCTCCACCAATAGCGTCACCTTACGTCATCACTCTCCCACCAATAGCGTCACCTTACGTCATCACTCTCCCACCAATAGCGTCACCCTACGTCATCACTCTCCCACCAATAGCGTCACCTTACGTCATCACTCTCCCACCAATAGCGTCACCTTATGTCATCATTATCCCACCAATAGTGTCACCTTACGTCATCACTCTCCCACCAATAGCGTCACCTTACGTCATCACTCTCCCACCAATAGCGTCACCTTACGTCATCATTATCCCACCAATAGTGATCCATTACGTCAACATCAACGAATTAATTGCCATTATTTTTTTTTTCAATGCTTAATGAGGTATTTTTGCCTTTAAATACATTACTTACGTGTGGACACTTCTTCAACTCACCAAAAAAACCAGACAATATATCAGTAACTTTGTCTTAATTTGTCTGTCTCTTCTTTTACATTCTATTGGTTTATTTATCAGTCTAGCTGCCTCTCTCGGATTTTTTATCACTCTCTCTTTCTCTCTCGTTAACTGTCTATTAATCTGTCTGTCTGTCTTTCTGTCTGTCTGCCACAAGTACTCACCTCAGAGTCGTTTAGGTTTGGTTGAGTCTGGTGGCGGTGGTGAGGTGGCGTGTCATCTACTAATTCTGACCCTCGACCCAACACAACCTGTAACACAAGAGAATTAAAATACTTAGTACACAATCTTGGTATTTTTTTCCTAGACAGTCCTGTGTTATGCACCAGTTCTGTTCCTGAGGACGTAAGTCGGAATACACACCCTATATGCAAACCGGACTTACAGAACAATTTTTAAAATCCCCTTTATATCATAGATTAAGTCCTTATATACATCTAAAATCACTTAATTCAAGAGAAAATAAGAAATAGAATGATTAAAGACAGTATATGTAGGTATTGTAGGTAGTAGGTAGTAGGCAGCTACCATACAGGGAGGTACTACTGCCTGGGAAGATAATGGAACCATAATGTGTTGACTATGGTAGACCCTGCTGCCATATGTGACCAAGTCCCAGGTTGGTGATCTGACTTTCTGTCTCATTTACACACAATTGCAGGGTCTCAATTGTTTCTCTTAATATTGACAACACAACTTACATATAGCGTTTCTCACTTTTGATTTTTTTTTTCATTTTGTATTTCTTTATGGTTCTTTATTATTATTATTATTATTATTATTATTATTATTATTATTATTATTATTATTGTTATTATTATTGTTATTATTATTATTATTATTATTAATGTTACTATTATTATTATTATTATTATTATTACATTTTCGCCCCCCAGGCCCCGATGTGGGTCAGTGACCTGTGCCCGGGTGTGCTAATCCCCGTCAAAAAAAATGAAATTAAAAAATAAAATCATCAGATATATAAAATACTGTAAATATAAAGCTTAACCCGTTTGTATTTTATATTTCAATAGTATATTCTGTAATTTATAAAGTATACTAATCTAGTTTAATTACTGTATGTTGTATTGTGTGCTTGGTGTATTAGTTCATATCTGTTCCGTTTTCTATGTATAAAGCATTTCTAGGGGAAACTTTACTTAGGGAGGGAAATATATCTCAAGACCGATATTATTGACTTAGTTTCACATATTTTCCCCAGGCATATGATGACGTCACATGAGGTAGGGGGAGATGAATGGTCACACGTGAACTGTATATATATATTTTAGTATTCAATCCTAATCAACTTTCAATTCTGAGATAACCATAATAAACGCGTCTTAATTAACAATAATCATAGTAACACAAGATGGCAGTTTGGTAAAAAATAAAAATAAATAAATAAACTCCGGCGACTGTCAGTGTGGGAAGGCGAGGTGTGTCAGTTTATGGTCAGCTTTCGTTGGGGGAAGGCGTAAGGGTGAATACCAGATTGATATTATTTGTACTTATTTTTTATTTATAGTTGTTATTTCTAAGGTGTGATAGTGGTTTAATGTACAGTACAAAATTTTTTCTCATAAACACTTCTTTCTTACAATATGAAACCTGACCTCTCTCTCTCTCTCTCTCTCTCTCTCTCTCTCTCTCTCTCTCTCTCTCTCACCAACATTATAAGTGAGAAAGAGATACTCACCTAAAATTTTGAGACATATTTTTTTTTTGAGAGAGAGACAGACAGACTCAAGTCCCTCGGAGTTCCTGCCCCCGAGCTCCTCAGTGTTTACTCAACATTCATAGTTCCCAAGCTCACCTATGCCTCCCCCACCTGGTCTTCCTCCCTAAATGCCACACAACGTAAACACCTAGAAAAAATGCAAAAGAGGGCATGCAAGATTATTCTCTCCCCTTCCTACTCCACATATCAAGAAGCGCTCAACACACTGACCCTCTCGGCTCTCTCTGACCATCACCACGACCCCATCTGCAAATTTGGTGAGAAGCTTCTGCACCATCCTCGACACCGGCTCCTACTACCATCCGATATCCCTCGTCTGAGAATTGCTGTTCAACACCACAACCGCACCCAGCCCATAGGAGCACGTACTGATCGCTATAAGAACAGCCCAGTCCCAACCATTGTAAAAATTATCAACAACTTGTAATCAACCAGTGTATTCACTCCCAGTCAATCTTACTTTTTGCACTGTCACTATGTTGAAATGCCCTGCAGTATGACCTTCTCCCCACCTAGTTATTATATATCATATTTGTATCACTTATGTTACTTGTATATTATTTGTCAATCAAGAGACACATTCTCCAATTATGTAACTGTATATTTTCAGCCTTACGGTTGCCATGCTCTTTCAATGAACCGTTCATTATTATTATTATTATTATTATTATTATTATTATTATTATTATTATTATTATTATTATTATTACACACAGACAGTTACAAAAAAAATAAAATAAAAGAAAGAAAAATATCAGAAATACGAGAGAAAAAGTTGTTAAATGGAGAGTGAAGGATGAAATAAATGAGAAATTCGGGAGAAGTTATCTAGAGAGAGAGAGAGAACGAGAGAACAAGAGAGAGAGAGAGAGAGAGCGAGAACAAGAGAGAGAGAGAGAGCGAGAACAAGAGAGAAAGAGAGAGAGAGGTCCTGGGATGTTGCTTCTCTTTTGGTCACGACAGGAAAAAAAATGACTGACTAATTTGGCCATGAATGTTGATTGAGCCTCTTGTACTGTAGCGCTGTACTGTAGCACTGTATTGTACTGTAGCGCTGTATTGTACTGTAGCGCTGTATTGTAGCACTGTATTGTACTGTATTATCTCGTATTGTTCTGTTGTTCTGGAGAAATTTCGTATTTAAGAATCTGTGAGACTCCATCGCTGTCTCGTGACTTACATAAATGAATACATACGTCTCTCTCTCTCTCTCTCTCTCTCTCTCTCTCTCTCTCCTCTTCTCTATCTCCTCTTCTCTCCTACGTCTGAAAACCTCCTTCAATTCCTCTCCATCCCCTCTCTTCTGTCTTCCTATCCTTCCCATTATTTCTTGTCGCCCTTTCTTTTCTTCTCCCTCCTTCCGTCCTTTTCTTTTTTACTAACCTTTCTCTTCTCCTTCCCCCCTTTCTCTCCTCCTCCCTTTTTTCTCCTTCCTCCCTTTCTCTTTTCACCCCCTTTCTTCCCTTTCTCTACTTCCTTCCCTTTCTTTACCCCCGTTCCCTCCCTCCCCCCACCTACCGAGGGCAGTAATAAAGGCAATACACTGTTGACAAATGACCTCACCAGGGAGACCTTTTTTTTTTATCCAGTACATAAGCCGATTGTCCTTCAAAACTTTCAGAAAATGTGAAGTTTTTATGCTATCCTGGTTAGGGTAAGTCATTTCTATTCCCATAATACATGTGCCGACACAAACGTTAAGTCAATACCGTCCTGGGTAAAACAAGACATTTTTGCCTAATACACACGAGACGACGCAAAACGCAGTGAAGAGTGTACTGGGAAAAACAAGACATTTTTTTTCTAGTATACAAGCCACATCGACACAAAATAAAGTCAAGAACGTCCTGGTAAGAACAATACATTTTTTCCCTAGTACACACGCCGCGCCAACACAAAACAAAGTCAAGACCATCCTAAGTAAAATAAAACATTTTTTTCCTAGTGCACAAGCCGCGCCCTCACAAAACGTAGTGAAGATCATCCTGGGTAAAACAAGAATTTTTTTTCCTAGTACACACACAACAATGTCAAGGTTGAACACACGTCCAGGGTTAATTTAGTCCATCCTGTGAAATGAAAGTTAGACAGATAAGCCTACAAATAGACAGATATATAGACGGAACAATACGTATATGGAAGGTAATAAAGACAGACAGATAGATGGACATACGGCTAGATAGACAGAAAATGGCTACATAGATAGACAGACAGACAGACAGGATAAGTTTACTGTTTATAAGACATTTAAAACCAATATTCTCCCTCTCTCTCTGTCTCTCTCTGTCTCTCTCTGTCTCTCTCTCTCTCTCTGTGTCTCTCTCTCTCTCTCTGTCTCTCTCTGTCTCTCTCTCTGTCTCTGGATCGCTTGATGACTTTACGGCGACAAATTACTCTTGCTACGGTCAGTTTACTGTCTACTATTAGTTCCCCTGTTTATCGCACTGCCTTCCTGTCTATTGTTCTGTCTATCGTCCTGTCTATCTTCCTGTCTATTGTTCTGTCCACCCCACGACCCCCCTGTCTACCCGACCCTCCTGTCTATCCCCGGCCTCCTGTCTGTCCCACGACCCTCCTGTCTATCCCGGCCCTCCTGTCTACCCTACGACCACTCCTGTCTACCCCCACGACCCCCCTGTCTGCCCACGACCCTCTGTCTACCCCACGACCCTCATCTGTCGACCCTCCCTGTCTGCCCGACCCTCCTGTCTGCCCACGACCCTCTGTCTACCCCGACCCTCCTGTCTGCCCCGGCCCCCCTGTCTGCCCGCGACCCTCCTGTCTGCCCCGACCCTCCCTGTCTACCCCACGACCCCCCTGTCTGTGACCCTCCTGTCTACCGTCCATTAAACGGTTCCTGTCTTTTTATGCCCCGCCACAGCAGCAGGAGTTATATAGTGTTAATCTTGTCCTTCTGTCTGACGTGTTAGGTTAGATTAGGTTAGGTTAGATTAGGTCAGGTCAGGTCAGGTCAGGTCAGATTTGGATTGGGTTAGGTTAGGTTAGTTAGGTCAAGTTAGGTTAGATTAGATTAGGTCAGGTCAGGCCAGGTCAGATCAGATTAGATTAGATTAGGTTAGGTTAGGTTAGGTTTACGTTAATTAATCATCAGGTAAAATAAACCTCCTGATCCTCAACACCTGAAGACTCCAGCCAGCCAATCAGTCCTCCAGGTGTAGTGACTGAGAGAGGCAAGACAACACCTGTCATCTCTCCTCCACAACAACAAACACAGTAATTAAGGTTGACTCATTCTAAGTAGTTAACCTCAATACTTAACTCATTCTAAGTAGTTAACCTCAATACTTAACTCATTCTAAGTAGTTAACCTCAATACTTAATAAGTAATTCTAAGTAGTTAATCTTTCGCGGTTGTTGTCGGAGTAAATATAACCCTGTGTACACCCACACCTCCCGGGTCTACTCTGAGTTAAGTTAGGTTAGGTTAGGTTAGGTTAGGTTAGGTTTGGTTATTTTTAGGTTAGGTTAGGTTAAGTTAGCATCAGGGTGCCTAATCCTCACGTGAAGTCATACCTCCAGCTGTCAGTCCAACTTACTACCTTGGTTCTTGACTGTCAATAAGTCTTAAGTCCTCATACGACAGTGAGATAATTCCCCCTTACGGCCCTCTGAGGAACCTGGGGAGGATTTATATCAATGACCTGAGTGATTTATATGAGGGATGTTACCTGTGATTTATATACCTGGGCCGTAGGTAATGTGGGTAATTAGTGATGGTTTATATTGGCGGTAATAGGTGAGATGGGATGGCTTTGTGAAGGGAGGGGCGAGGAGGGAGTGTGGGAGAGTGTGAGGTGTGGGAAGGTGTGGGGGTGTGTGAGAAGGTGTGGGAAGGTGGGGGTGTGTGGGAAGGGAAGGTGGGAGGGGAAGGTGGGAGTGTGGGGGTGTGGGGGAGGTGGGAAGGTGTGGGGAAGGTGTGGGGTGGGGAGAATGTGTGGGAGGGGAAGGTGGGGAGGAGGGGGAAGGTGTGGGGAAGGTGTGGGAAGGTGTGTGGGGGGTGTGGAGAAGGGGGAGGTGTGTGGGAAGGTGGGAGTGGGAAGGTGTGGGAAGGTGGGGAGGTGGGAAGGTGTGTGGGAGGTGGGAAGGTGGGGAGGGGGGTGGGAAGGTGGGGAGGTGTGGGAAGGTGTGGGAAGGTGGAGGTGGGGTGGGAAGGTGTGGGAGGTGTGGGAAGGTGAAGGTGTGGGAGGGGGGTGGGAAGGTGTGTGGGAGGGGGAAGGTGTGGGAGGTGTGGGAAGGGAGTGTGTGGGAGAGGTGTGGGGAGGGGAGGTGGGGAAGGTGTGAGGAGGTGGGAAGGTGTGGGGAAGGTGGGGAGGTGGGGGAAGGTGGGGAAGGTGTGGGGAGGTGGGAAGGTGTGGGAGGTGTGGGAAGGTGGGAGGTGGGAAGGGGAGGTGTGAGAGTGTGTGGGAGGTGGGGGAAGGTGTGGAGGTGTGTGTGGGAGGTGGGAAGGTGGGGAGGTGTGGGAAGGTATGGGAGGTGTGGAAGGTGTGGGATGTGGAGAAGGTGGGAGGTGTGAGAAGGTGGGAGTGTGTGAGAAGGTGGGGAGGTGAGAAGGTGTGGGGAGGTGGGGAGGGAAGGTGGGAGGGAAGGGTGGAAGGGAGGGAGAAGGGTGTGAGAAGGGTGGGAGGGGAAGGGTGGAAGGGGAGGGAGGGGAGAGGGGAGGGGGAGGGTGTGGAAGGGGAGGGTGGGAGGTGGGATAGGGGAGGTGGAAGGTGGGAGTGTGGGAGGGAAGGTGGGAAGGTGGGAGGGGGAAGGTGGGGAGGGGAGTGTGTGGAGAAGGTAACTAGTAATGTTTACAGTGTGTCATCAGCACATAGCACTCGTCATTCCTTATATATATCAGTTTGCGTTAGTCAGCTCTATGATTTTACTACTTATAACCACTGAAGAGTTACCACCCCCCTGCCCCTCACCTCACCTGTACTCTCCTGACTAACTCTCCTGACTAACTCTCCTGACTAACTCACATTGACCAACTCACCTGACTAACTCCCTCCACTAACCTCCTGACTAACTCACCTGACTAACTCTCCTGACTAACGCACCTGACTAACTCACCTGAGTAACTCTCCTGACTAACTCTCCTGACTAACTCTCCTGACTAACGCACCTGACTAACTCACCTGACTAACTCTCCTGACTAACTCTCCTGACTAACTCTCTGGATTAATTCTCCTCCAGTGCCACTCCTGCTCTGGCACTTCTCTCCAGTGCCACTCCCGCTCTGGCTGTGTCTCTCCTCCAGTGCCACTGCTTGCTCTGCCTGGCACTCTCCCTCCAGTCCACTCCGCTCTGGCACTCTCCCTCCAGTGACACTCCTGCTCTGGCACTCTCCTCCAGTGCCACTCTGCCTGGCACTTCCTCCAGTGCCACTCTCTGTCCCTCCAGTGACTCCTGCCTGGCACTCTCCCTCCAGTGCCACTCCTGCCTGCACTTCCTCCGTCCTCTGCCTGACTCTCGCTCCTGTGCCTCTCCTCCAGCACCTCGCTCTGGCACTCCCTCCAGTGCCACTCCTGCCTCTGGCATCTCCCTCCAGTGACACTCCTGCTCTGGCACTCTCCTCCAGTGCCACACTGCTCTGGCACTCTCCCCCAGTGACACTTCTGCCTGGCACTCTCCCTCCAGTGCCACCCGGTCTGGCACTCTCCAGTGCCACTCTGCCTGGCACTCTCCCTCCAGTGCCACTCCCGCTCTGGCACTCTCCTCCAGTGACACCTGCTCTGCACTCTCCAGTGACACTCCTGCTCTGCACTCCCTCCAGTACCACTTCGCTCTGGCACTCTCAGTCCTGGCACTCTCCCTCCAGTGCCCTCCTGCCTGGCACTCCCTCAGTGCCACTCTGCCTGGCACTCTCCTCCAGTGACACTGCTCTGGCACTTCCTCCAGTACCACTCTCCACCTGTTGACACCACACCTACACACTCTCCGCCACACACAAGCTGACCTCAGGCACCAGAGGTCAGACAGTAGTGAAACTTGACCTTGTCTGAGGACAAGGCAGGTCACTGTATATCATGGCACTTGTTGACCCGGGTTAAGTTTAGGGTTAATTAATCTTTGTTTAAGTCAAATTACGTGGTTAACCCTTGTGTTTATTCTCTCTCTCTCTCTCTCCACCTACCTGCCTCATTAGCACAGGTGGTGTCTCCCACGCTGGTCGACCCTCCCGGCTTCCTCACCTCTCTTGTCCTGTATTCGAGATACCCGCCATTACAGGGTGACTCATAATTGTCTTTCATAAATCACAGGGTGTATTCTTGAGGAGAAGAAGAAGAAGAAGAAGAAGAAGAAGAAGAAGAAGAAGAAGAAGACCTAACTTCCTTCCAATCTCTTGAAAGTCATAAGACCTGACCTTCACACCTCACACACCTGGCCAGTGCGCTGTGTCGCCTAACCTTTGCTACAGTTCATTATTTTCCTGTAGTATTAATTTAAATGATTCTACAGATATTTTTTTTCATCTCATATTTCATTTCACTCTCTTCTAATTTATCTATGTCACTTTTTCTAATTTCTCTCTCTTTTCTTTTCTTTCTCTTATCTTTTTTTCCTCTCTCTCTCTCTCTCTCTCTCTAGGCAGTGGACCAGAAGAACACAAATGACTCAATTACAGCAGTAGGACCACCACCACCACCGCCAGGGCATGGAGCCAGACGACAAACACAGGAGGCGCCTTCCAGATCCTGCCAACTAACCGACCGCCCGGGTGCCAG